TTTTTTAAAAATATAAAATTATTTTCAGAGTGACAAACTAAGCATACTCATAGTATTGCAGTGTTGTAATAATATAATTTAGGGTAAAGTACACAAACACCTCTTGAGGTTTGGGGTAAGGACAAACAGATGAAAGTTTGGCTATTTTTGGACAATCACACCACCTTGTTAAATTTGCCATCCAAACAGGGCCTTAAAACATGTGAAAAGTCCATTTTACCCTTTTCTATTTTATTAATTTAAATTATAAAATTTTAAAATACTTAACGGACCAAATTACCCTTATATATATATATATATACCCCCACACAACAGTGACCACCAGCACCAACAATAGATCCACTGATCGTCAATCTAGGCACGGCAATACCGGAGGGAGACGAAGCAGGAGCGTCGGAGGTTGGGGGAGCAGGCGGAGAAGCAATCAGAGAGGTCGGGGCAGTACTGCCTGCGGCGGAGAAGATGACAGCGAGGACGACAAGCCGAAACGCCACACCCGACCATTCAGTCTTGAATTAGTTCAGAGGTCCCGTTATTGATCAGGCGATAGATGTTGGGCATCGAGGTCTTGAATTGGTACCCAAATCGAAACCCAATTGATGAAATCAGAAGAACAACTGGGTTGTTGGTGAGAGGAGAAGCAAAATTTTCAATTGATTCAGAGGTTTTATTGGGGTGGGATTGAGATTGATATTCACATCATCAAAACCCATCTTTCCAACCAGCCTATACTGGTGGGATTAAGATTGAGCCGCACCTTGTCGGCTCCCTTCGCCAGAATCTTTTATGCATAATGAAGAGCATGGACTGAACAGGTAAAATACTGCCCGGCGATGGCTTCACGGAGAGCATGGATTGAATATACCGGCGGTGAAGCTAGACTGACCGGCGAGGAGCGGGCCACGACTGTCGGCAGAGCTCTCTGCCATGGAAAAGCCGGAGCTCTGTGGAAGATCATGCGTAGGCGAGGAGTGGGCCACGGTCGTCGGCGGAGCTCTCCACCATGGACTCGTCGAAGCTCTGTACAAGAATCATACGCCGGCGAGGAGCAGGCCACAGATTATTATGTGTATATACAGATTAGAGTCAAAACCATTATGTGTACAAGCTATATTTTGGCACCATAACTTCTCCAAATTCAATCCACAAGTCTGAAACTGCTCCGTCGGTCGGAGACACCCAAGTCTGAAACTGCTCAAAACCCATCATCATGAAGCCAACGTCAAATTCAGATTATTATGTGTATACTCAAAACCATTAGAATCATCGGCAATTCCGGGAAAATTATTTAACAATTTGAATGCGAAATCAGAACCATTATTAGTAAAGAATGATATGGGCATCAAATCAATACCCATTATAAAGCAAAACTCTGTTTTTCTTCATTATTTGTTTGAAATTCTTTCTTCTATAATTTAATTTTGCAATAGACAAAAAAAATAAGTTGATATATATTGGTTTATAATTGAGACCAGACCAATAATATATATACTCCGTATATATACACACACATTTTGGGTGTAATCCGAGAATGAATTATTCCAGAAGATTTACATATATACCAATAAGGAAAGAAAGAAAATTAAAAAAGAAAAAAAAATAACAAATTATATTTGTTAATGAGAAATTTTAAAGATGGAAACAATTTTATTGACTATTAGTTTCAATGTGTAAAAATAAAAAATAATAAAAAAAAAGGATATGATAAATTTCGTTTAAAGAAAAAATAGAAAATTCTCTTTACTTTCTAATATATATTACTTATGATCATATTTTAGCAACCACCGAACAAATTGGGCACAAATTCTCATCCCGAATCAACTCATCGGTCGGAGACACACGAGTCTGAAACTGCTCCGCTGAAAGAAGATATATTTTGGCACCATAACTCCTCCAAATTCAATCCACAATGGTCCCTCTTCTCCCTATAAGCGCACCAATCTGTCCCACCACTGCAACCCTCTCAAAAACATTAACCAGAGCCTCCTTAAATTGTGATACATAGCACTCCTCTTCTTGTGTGATCTTCTTGTAAATAGCTGGATAGCCGATGATGTTTACACGCTCAAGGCAACGGGTTATCATAACTTCGACTCTAATTTTGGCTCTGATTTCGCATTCAAATTGTTTAATAATTTTCCCGGAATTGCCGATGACTTTAATCATACGTCGGCGGGTTCCTTTCCGTTGATTATATGTGTATATACAAATTATTGAGAGATAAATAAATATATATATATATAGAGGTTAAAAATGTAATTTCAACATTCAATTTGGTCAATATAAAAGTCAAAGGGCAGAAATGTCAACTCATTACCATTGAGGTGTCTTTGGTTATTATATCAAACTTGAGGGGGTGTGTTTGTCCCAAAATAGGCTAAGTTTCATCTGGCTGTCCTTATCCCAAACCTTAGGGGGTGTCAGTGTACTTTACCCTATAATTTAATATGTTGCATGAATGCTACATATTCAATATAAATATATCATAAAATTGTTGCATTGGTTGTATCAATAAAATGTAACACATGCTACATTTTATAACCTTGTGTGCTGCACTGTTGATTTAACAATACAGACGGGGGTATAGATGATTGGCTATGCATGCCTAGTGATTTGTGGACTACAAAACACATCATTGCATTCTTTTGACATTGCTTTAAGATGCGACTATTAGTGAAAAGTTAACATTCCCGCGTGAAAATGCTAAGATATGGGTAGGTCATCCAACCCATGATGCTTTCATACAAAATTCAGAGGCTCCATCATAAAACAAATCTAGGATGTCAATTCACTCTATTAGTGGAAATCAATTGCAACAGTAGAAACCGATTTATAGACCACCAATAAAGTCATCCTAATCATGTTCAAGTAGCATGGCCCCCATTGACAACTAAACTCAACTCAACCAAAAAAAAAAAAAAAAAAACCTAACTTAGCCAAACCCTTTTGTTCAATTATTTTGGATCAAATGAATTAATCATGTTTTGTTTCTCAAACAATTTACATGTTTTTCTTTATCATTAATGCATATAAGTTCTAGTCTTCTACTTAACTAACATTGACCACATCATTTTTTCCTCTGTTGTGCAATTTGGTCTTTACTTCACATGGCCAAATGGGCAAGCGAGGGTTCTTAATCAATTTTTTCAAACTTTTATCTCCAATTTGTGTTACGCAGACCAAATCCGCAAATAACTCGACTTTTCAACTTTATCCTTTCTTGTACCGCACGATTCGCACACATTTATTTCATTGAATCATAGTTATTATTTCCTAAATATCTAAAAGTTTGAATGATTTAATACCTATTTTATAATTTAAAGGATTGGTTCAGGGTAAGTGTCATAGTGGGTAAGTGTCATACGGATAGAAATTACTATGAAAAATTTCACCCTATGATGACACTTCGGGCCACCAATACTCAGCCAAACACACACACAGTAAGCATAATTTGAAGGCACAACTTCATCACAATGAATGATACAAAGGACATCAAATTCGTACTAGGAATTCAAGCACTCACTGTATGCGCATCCTCTCTGCCCAATCAAGCCCCCAGCAACCAATTTTACCACGAAAATTTTTGCCATGTGTGATGGTAAGCACTCATAGTTCGCAATATCGGTCACGATCACGGTATCGATCGTAGTGTAACGAACTCGGACAAAGTCAATATAAATTGGCCAATATAGATCGCGCATCGGACATAAAAAAAAAAAAAGTCGCGTATCCGCCGATACGGCTAATCATGAAGCCACTTGACCCAGGTGCCTCAAGAAGCATCAAGTTTGAGGTTCAACTCATCTTGGGTGTAAGCAATTCCTTGAGGGCAGTTGGCGCGGGGCTTGAGTATATCAAAAAAAAAAATCTATTTTATAGAATTTATCTTCCAATTTTAGAGGTACCATATATATATATATATATATGGTGAAGTATATGTCACTTTTAGGTCTCAATGCTAATGGTCCATGACATAGGCTTTCTTTATCATTGGGCCAAATAACTGAAAGAATGGTCAAACAAGATGGGTCACACAGTCCAATTCAGCAATCATCCATCCCCTGTGCTCCTGCACAACCCACAAACAATACCATCTCAATTTCGACACAACATATCAAACATTATACCATGGAAGGAAGTTTTGTACCAAGTGATATGTTGGTACGTTTATTAAGTGTGAAAACACACACCACTATGGGTAGGCAAATTCTGCAACAAACACATGACATTCAAATGCCTTAAATGTAGTGGGGGGACTAACACCATTTTCTGCAGTCAGAGTCACAAGAGTACCCTAGCAATTGACAAGACCCTAACAAAAAAAAACAATGACTAAGAGCTTCAAAGCCAAAAGTAATAGCATTAAATCTATTTATGACTAAGAGCTTTTCAGTCTCTCTCCACAGCATATGCATCTACAGTTAAAAGAGTGTGGTTTCACTTTCACCCAAACAGGGTCTGTGGAACATTTTGGGACCATTAAGGTCCCTTACCAGTCATTTTCATCATAAATAAAACAGGAAGCAGAAGTAAAGAAGAGATAGGCTAGGTTGGTGATCAATCTAAGAAAACTATATAGACTAGGGCACAAATCATAGAGAACAATAGGGTAAAGAACAAGCTTTGACTCGAATACAATCATGATGTAGGAAGAAGTAAGAAAGCAACCTAGGTCATGGCATGAACAGCAGAACTTCGAGAAATACAGTGCAAACATTGACCCTCATGATGAGTTAACCAACAAAGATCAAATGGGCGATTGAGCTGTTTGTTTAGATCGGGTAGTGAGAGGACCAAAAGGCTCCAAAAGCTCGTGCTTGTATCAGAAACACCAAGGTGTTTACGTAAGGCATGCCGGTCTTGACCTGATCAATGCACCGGAGTATCTACCCTATTCATGTGCAATTGAGGCATAGACAAACCCCTATTCACTAAGCAGACTCCAATAAGCCTGTATGCTTTGTCATAACGAAGGACCAACTAGAAAATTACAAAATGCATTCAACCATGCCAAAAACATTTAGATAAGAAGTCTGAGGATCAGAACTGTGTTTCAAGATATTTGCTACAATGTAAAGCTGCCAAATGAATGATAGTATAGAAAGTTATAACCACGTCAACTGAACAAACAAGAGTACTTTGGCGGTTCAAACAAAGTGTCCATAAATATTCTATAAACACAATTTCATTTCTGTAACCATACAGAAAGATTCTAATTTTTTGAGTGCAGATGCTTCAAGGGCATTACAGAATGGCTGTATGCTAATGATAAGCCTCTTCGTTTCATAAAGTGTATCCCATGATAAAGGCTAAAGTTTGGGAGTGAGATACCAATATCACACAGATTGTAAGTTGTGGGCTTGCAAAGCTTCTTGTAGGCACTTCACGGCCCCATCATAGTTGAGAAAACCCATATACCAAAATTCATGGCTATCAACAGAGATAACTTGGATGAACTTTTCAGCGCCATTAGCTCTGCTTGAAGAAGGATTAATTGCTTTAAGCTGGTGTAACGGAATAACTACCTATATATATATATAGAGCAAACAAACAGAAAAGTATCAGTAAATATTGCAAAGACAACTAAATTAATTGATAAAAGAAGAGAACTACATATATATACTCACAGCAATAGAATTTACCAAAGATATACGTATAGTAATAAAAAAACAACAATATGCTGAATTATCATCGAAAAACAGGAATAAGGCTGTCGCAACTTCAAAGTTGTGACAAGTTCAATTAAGAAAAGAACAATAATGACATTACTTCTTACATGTAGTAGACTTCAGAAACTAAAGTAAACTAAACAAAGCACAAAAGAACTATTAAGAAAATCTTAGCAAATTATTAAGAGAAAAAGGACAAGGAAGTAAAACTACATCACAGAGTAGGTAGTCCGACACCTAAGAGTTGATTGTTTTACTTCATATGATAATTGTGAAGCAGTTGCTGAACATGTTATTTTATAAACATTCACTCACCCCCACTGAGTCTCTCTCTAGCTCAAGTGGTATATCTTCGTCTTCTCATATGGGAGGTTGAGGGTTCAAGTACCCTATGGGACATAAAGGGTGTGTGCGTTGAGTTAGGTGTGCGTGTCCTTACTTACCTGTTGAAGAAATATTCGAAGCTTTAAACAGTACAAATCCAACAGGAGCTTTAAGATTGGCAAAATCAAAAGATACATGGGCAAAGAAATACTTAATTTGTGAAAAATTATATAGTACCATAAACACATTATGGTTATATAGAGGAAAGCACAAATGCTTGAGTTGCACATCTCTTGGTTGATGGAAGATGGAATCGGCCTCAATCTATCCCAAAAGAAATCTCAGATTTGATAGTAGAAATCTAGAAATCTATTCTCTTGGTTGATGGAAGATGGAATCGGCCTCAATCTATCCCAAAAGAAATCTCAGATTTGATAGTAGAAATCTACTTCAATTCAGCCAAAGGTCAATATGCCCAATCAAGTGGTTTCAAATTTAGGGAATGGTGAATTTCATATCTCTCTCAAGTGGAAGTTTCTTCGACCAAGGAGTTTTGAAGTCAGCTAGGGCCACTTACTTTGGTTTCAAAGTCGCACTCTCATTCTTTCACACCCTGGATAGAAATTAGAGGGAGGCTTAACCCTCAAGATGACCTTTTGCGGTTTCAGATCATCCAATCCTCAATCTTCACTACATGTAAATCATGATCTAAAACAATCAAACATCTCTTCTTCGACTGTCCCTTTACTAATAGGTTATGGTCTCAGGTTATGGCTAGATGCAGCATACAGTGGCCAAGCTGTGAATGGACCTCTCTCATTGCTTGGGCAGCCACATACCTTAGAGGGGGAAAAACTTTAATGCAGCAGCAATACCATGTTATTTTGTTGACATGGTCTCAGCAACTAATTAAAGCCTGACATGGAGCATGAGGCCCAACATGCATACAGTAGAATATGAAAAGAAGAAAAAGGAGAGAATTGTGTAAAGGCTTGAATGAGATAAATCACTCATTCACAGCTCTAGTATTTTTAGATAAAAAGAGCACATGCTCGTATTACAAGAAAGGAAATTAAATCAAATCTAAATCAAATCAAAGCATATTCTAAAACATATTCTATAGCATAATCAAATCTCTGCAAATATGGTAAGTCATTCCATAAATCGTGGCTATCATATCTGCTAACACGTATACTAAATGCCATCAAATCATATATTTGTATTACGTGGGTCCAATGTGCTTATATGAAGAGATTTAGATGGTTGGTGATACCATGTCAGCAAATCACTGTTGTCTTGAAGACTTTCTCCTTGGAGGAGGTATATCTTCAAAAGATCGAATAAGATTGCATTTGCAGTTGCTGTCTATGTGATATGGAAGACTAGGAACCATAGGGTGCGCTCAAATGACTACAAGGATGTCAACACTTTGGTCAGACCAATATACATTTGGTCAGATATGGGCTCCTGGCTCTGAGAAATATCCCAATCACAAGCACATGGATGGCTTCAAAACGAATGAAATTTACCAGAATCACAATATTCAATTCCTAGGTGTGGATATTCTGTGGCTTGCCTTAATGACTTGATGTTTTGAACTTTTGGGTCGCCTCTAGGCTCTTTCTTTTGGTTGGAAGTTGGGGAATTGCTTCTGTTCATAAGCAGTGGTACGCGAGGTGGGGAGTAAGATGCTCTAGTTTTTGGTCTTATTGTCTTATTTTATTATACATGTCTCTGTGTTCTATCGCAAGTTTTATGCATTTGGCTAGGCATGCATTATCATAAGAGCATAATAAATAAATGCAACTAATGATAAATATTTCGGTACTGCCAAACCAAATACTTTGGATCACTGAAACCACCACACGTTGAAATGGTTATTTAAATAAACTGAAAACACCATAGCAAATGAATCATGCAGCAACTACAAGAAAATATGGACTCAGCATAGATGGGATACCCATGAACATGACACAATGAGATGCACAACAAAGAGAATTTCACAGGTAAGTTTAAAACCAGAACTAGATCGTTTTTAGCAGGTTCAGATAGGTGACTTGCATTAAGATGAGATGTGTGTCAGCATAAAACGAATAGGCAGCTCCAACCAAGATAAAATGCAAAATAATTCTAGTCTTACAAGGTTTGAAGAGATTATTAAGGCCAACCTAAGGTGTAATAACTTAAGCTGGAGTTGGAGAAACCAACCAGGACCTGTCAAAATTGTGGAACCCAACATTCAGCATGCGAAAATCTTAAATGCCATCTTTACACTACTACCCTTCTGCCCCAACAGAAAAAAATATAGTAATAATAATTAAAAAGAAACAACCAAAAGTTTGTTCCTGGCTCGGGCTTTTCAGCCTAATTTTATGCATACCACTTTGTTTCTGGCCTAGAAAAAGAGTTGGTGTTTGCATTTGACTCGGTGTTTTTCTAAAAAATATATATATATATATATATTTCTCTTTTACAAGGATGGAAAAACCCCAAATAAATGAAATTTGGATCCATGATCATTCCTATATGGATACTTCAAGTGGTTCCCTCACAGTGAGTGTTCCTCACGTTTTTATGAATTAACTTGAGATAGACAATTTTAAATCTCTCTTCTTGTCCTCCCTCTTTTTTGTTTTCATTTTTTCCTTATTTCATCATTTAATAATTGCTTTTCCTTTCTCAAGCTCTAAAGGTGTTCCTGTTGTCTTGCAAATGACAAACATGACTTATAAATTGTGTGCTTCTTCTTTCCATTTTTTCTTTTCTGTATTGGTTAGAGAAACAGGAAGGGAAATATCAAATAAGAATGAAATTTAATCCAACAAATGAACTTCAAATGCAAATTAAAAGATATTTTTTATTCACTCAAGCAATAGTACCTCTTGTCCCCCCTTAGCACCCACCCCCACCCCCACTCCCACCCCCTCGAAAACCCTCCTTCATCTCCCATGAGCTGCAACTAGGTAACAGCTAAGTTTGAAGGGGTTTCTACTTTTAAGATAGATGGAATACCCTTTTGTAACCCGAACCAATGTAACTTATAACTCAATGTGTTTTAAAAGAAAAACAATAGTATCATATGTTAACATGTTCTGTATCGTAAATTTAGAATGTCTTGACGTACTCTTATGATGCCCAATTTTTGGACATATTTTAAAACATGTCTGCATATCCTAAGATTTGGGATAAGGTCAGACACTTAGACACATACATGCACATGATATACGTACCCGAGTTCATGTAATATAAGGTGGTACCAAGTAATTATTATATTAGGATTATTTGAAGCGTACACTGATACACAACCAAGGAAAAGGCCCGTATTTCTATATATTGTAATGAATATTTATTACAGAGGGAATAAGATTTTGATCCGACTATTTTCCTTTCTCTTTCTTTCTCTTTTCTCTTAGAGCTTGATTTGAACCCATCATTCATGGAGTTTGAGGCTCCTTATTGGACATCGAGAAATATATTAAAAGGCCACTACCAATAATTGGTCCCAATTAATTGAGAGTGCCGAGAAGGAATCCGAGTTATGGACCTATAATTTGATATTACTTGCACAAAGTGGTTATTCTTAGACTTGCGAACTCATCCTCTAAGTTGGCAACTTGAGCTTCTAGCACAACATCAATCGATACCCCCGATTGTGAAGTCTAGTGAAAAGTCAAATCATTATGGATTTTTAGGCTTTACTAAAGTATTAACAGAGTCCACCAATTACTTGTAGCATAGGACATTATACTTCAGTTCTGGTATTAAAGCATACCAAGATGTATGTTTGGACATATAATTATCATTTTCGAAATTATGCCTTACACAAAAGGTAAGGTAAAAGCGCATTACTCAATGAATGTCTTGTCAATGTTGCGTGCGGGAAGGGAAAAGCTAGAGAATTAGTAACCTAGCTTTTAACATAATTTTGCACAAACTGTAGTCATATGAACAAAAAAGAATAAGTTTCCAATATAGTCCACATTGCTGCCTACTGAGATAATGCAATCACGTCAACAGCAAACTCTGACTTCAACTCCTACTCAAAAGATGCAAGTTTGAAGATCCTGACTTCTTGTTCCATGATTCCCCAATGTTTGAGGTAATTGATGTGATCATCATCAATAAGGAACCTTTTTGGGTACAATGGATGAGCTCATAGAGAGAGAGAGAGAGAGGGGAAAAGGAGGGTGTAAGGCTGATTTGTTTTATTATTGGAACTTTGGAAAATCTAGTATTTGCTTGGATTTATATACCAAGTTGTAAGGGGCTATCTGCCATAATTAATTTAGTTTGGTTGTGTACAGGTTTCAAAAGTATCCAAGTAATTGTTATGACAAACGCAGCGAACCAAGAACACATTGCGAATCAAGACAGCAAAGTAAACACGCCACACACAAAGAACACAAAGATTTACATGGTTCAACAAAGCCTTTGTCCACGGTGAAGATCCGGTGAAAGAAATCACCATGCGAAAACCTAGAGATTACAAGTTTCAACCCCAAACCCTAGCTCTCGCTCGCTCTCTCAGTTTT